CTACAATTCTGCCTTCAAGATCTGATCTATTTCCTCACCTTCACTCAGTTGGTTGCATATACTTTTAATGGAGGTTTTAATCTTGGATTTTTGTTTGCATCTTATCATGGATTTAATTTTTTTTATCTTGGCCTTTTTTGTTTCTGGTATTTTTCTATGCTCATCTTTTTTTTTTTCTTCTATGTCTTCTTTATTATCTTTGATTTTAAGCATTATTTCTTTTAGTACCTGAGAGATTATTTTTTCTATAGACTTTTCCACTTTTTTTTTTTTTCACTTTTGTTGCTATCATTTCACAAATTTCAAGTGTTTGGCTTCAACTTTCATATATCTCACTGTGTTCTGGGATGTCCTTTGTGGGCTAGGGGTCTGGTGTTGTATTTAGCTTCTCCATTTTATCATTTTCTATTTTAAAATTTTATTTTGTTTTCTATGTTGATGCTTTCCGATTTCTTATGTTTTATCACTTGTATTGAGGCTTCTCTAGGGATTTGGCTGTTCTTAAAGGATATCTTGTAAATGCAGGTGGTTCTTTATCACTATCCCAAAAGCCTATCTTCCTAACTTCTAAAAGGATGCAAAGTTATTATTTAGCTCGGCACCTAATCCTTGGTACTGGGACGTGGTGGTGATTATGACCCCATGCAATCACAACATTATACAGGGGAGAGAAATTGACATGTATGACATCCTGGCTAAATTAGTACAGTTAATAATAATGATAGTTTCAAATATGGCTTAGTGACATACAATGGTAACCATTAATCAGCTACCTCCAATGATAGGAGCAAACTCTAAAGTTATATAATGAAGTCAGACATATACTATGTAGTTGTATATAGTGATTTTTCCCTTAATAGAGTGATTATACCCTTTTGTGTATAGGTGTATGAGATGGTTAGGGGAAAAGATAAAGGGATGAATGAATGAGGTACAATAGAGTCAAGGCTGGAGATCAAAGGATGGTCAACTGAGTTTTGTGAAACTAAGACATCAAAGGAGTAATCAGGAAGGGAAGAGAGAATGTTTACTCACTTGAAAATTTAAATTCAGATAGAGTATGCTTAATGCAATTATGCTTAATATTTTCTGAAATAATTATTAAGACTTTTAAATGTAGAGGATAAAAATGGGTTTAAAGCAAATAAATATGAAAAAATATTTTTCACAGCAATTATGCTTAATGTTTTCTGGGCAATATAACATTGAGAAAGAGAATGAATTTAAAAAGGATGGAAAAGTGCAGCCACAGGGGATTCTACTGTTAAATAATATTAAATGAGACAATTGCCAGACAATGTAAACTTTTTGATAATAATTGATTGCCCAGGTATCTTTTATGTGGGACTCTGAATGAACATAAAAATGGCAAATCCTGAGGTAAGGAAAAAGGTCAGGAATAGAGCATTTCTCCCAGCCCTCTGAGGGAACCAACCTTCGCAGCTCCATGCTGTCAGACTTAAGCCTTTAGAACTTTGTGAGAATGAATTTGTTATTTAAGCCATCCATTTATGCATACTAGAGCAAGATGATGTGATAATTTTAAATGTGTTCTATCAGTTTACTTTGTACACCATACACGAGAAAGGGATATAGAATGTGTTCAAACAGAAGATGGTTATAGTTTAATAAGCTGATGAAATGACTATGAGGTGGTAGATCTCCCCATGACATATTACAGGAAAACACTTAATTTTCATGTGTGCAGGTTTAGGTTATGTCATCTTTGATACCAAAGAACAAGAAACAAACATTATTAAGTAGCGTATGTAGAATATTCTGAGGATGAAAAACGTAGAAAAAACACCCAAAAGCAAAAGTTGAGGAATTTATTTATTTATTTAAATTTTATGTATTTGGTACAGGGTCTCACTACGCAGGTCAGACTTGTAGTGATCCTCCTGTTTTCATCCTCCCCAGCAATGGGATTACAGGTCTGCGCCACCATGCCCATGGCTTGTTTGGTGTGCCCAGGGCAGGGCCAGCATGGTATATGGTACCAGGGATTAACTTTGGTCCCTGCACTTGCCAGGCAGGTGCTTAGACCACTGAACTATCTCTCCAGCCCAGGTTGAGGAATATAAACTATAGAAAGTCCTCCGTAATTTGAATTTTTTTTTTTTTTTTTGTGGAACCAGGGATTGAACTCAGGCCTTTGCACTTGCAGGGGAAGCGCTTATTCTACTGCGCCATCTCCCCAGCCCTCGTGAGCCATCTCCCCAGCCCCCAGTAATTTGAATTACAGGATTTTGGAAATTTTGAGAATTTAATGAATTTTAATCTGCATGAGTTGCATTATTGGAGGAAGAAATGATTTAAGGACAGGGTATTTAAAACATTTTTCCAATGTTGTAAAGCATTGCTTTACTTTATAAAACTGATATGCTGAATTCCATTTGGGATTGCACCAATATTGCCTGCTTAAGTCCTAATCTCCAAAAACATACTCTGCCCAAAACCTGTAATACAAGCATATTCTTGTAGCATTACGAGGAGACAGGATATCGCAAACTTAAATTTATCTGTAAGTAGAGAAAAGAGACAGCAAATTGCCACAGAGTTCTTGTTGGTGTACACATGAAGAAAGTGTATGGGAAGGAGAGGGGAAATTGACTTGGAGGAAGCACAGTGAAATCTGCAGAAAAAGGTCTGAAAAAGGTCTTTTTTTTTTTTTTTTTTTTTTTTTTTGCGGAACCGGGGATTGAACTCAGGCCCTTGCGCTTGCCAGAGAAGCGCTTATTCCACTGAGCCATCTCCGCGACCCCTGAAATCTTAAGAGTAATAGAGGTCAGGTCTGGAAATTTGCGGTTCACGTGTCTGAGAACAGGAGAAGAATCAGTCTGAGCAGGATTGAGGGCGCAGCCTTGGGCAAACTGCTTCTTGGGGGAGAGGAATGGAGTAGGGCAGATGCTCTTCAGATTGCTGGCATTGAAGGGAGAGCAGGACACACCAGGGGAAACGGGGACCCTCTGGAAAGAAGTGGAGCATGGTACGCGTAACTTGCTGACCAGTAAAAATGCTGTGCGTTTGAAAGAGATGTGGCAAAATGTTGAAGATTAGTAAGTTTATAAAGAAACAGCATTTTTTGTACTATTCTTGCACATTGAACTTGCCATATTTGTGATGGGAGTGTATTCTGTATGTTACTGCTGGGCAGCCCTCATTTGAAGTCCATCATACGATGTTGTATAGCTAAGAATTAGTGTATCAGGCTACCCAGTAGGACAGCTGTGCATGTACCACTGATGGTACAAGCCAGCAGGCACATGTTCCCCCAAGAAGAGTTTAAAAATGTTATGTCAATTAGGCATTTCCAACTAAATTATTTAGTTATTATAGTGTACTTTTTTAAAAAAAAAAATCTGTTTTTTACTTAATGTAGTCATTTGGTGCAGGGTTTGGCTATGCAGCTTGGACTCGTAGAGATCCTCCAGGCTCAGCCTCCCCATCACTGGAATTACAGGCGTGCACCACTGTGCCTGGTTTTGGTGGCTTGCCCGGTGTTCTGGGCCTGCACGGCATATGGTATCAGGATCAAACCTGGGTCCTTGAGCTGCCAGACAGGTACTTAGGCTGCTGACCTATCTCCCTAGCCCATTACAGTTTACTTTTATGTAGCTTATATGCATTTGGATGAAACAATCTTTCATTTCTTTAAAAATCTTTGTGCTTCAGATCCTAGTAATGTACATCCATTTTCTCAATAAATTTGTTACTAATGAGTTTTACAACAGTAAGACAGACAGTGGTTACTAGTGTTGTCTTTCTTTTTTCTGTTTTGGTCTCGCTGTGCAGTTCAGGCTGGTCTTGAGCTCACTTTGTAGTCCAGGCTGGTCTTGAACTCACACTGATCCTCCTGCCTCAGCCTCCCAAGTGTTGGGATTACAGGCATGCACCACCTTGTCTGGCAGTCTTTCTTATTGGAAGGAGCACAGTCGTGCTAAGAAGTTGTTAGGTAGAATAGTAGGTTTTGATACTAAAATTGGAATAGCTTTATAATTTTTCTGAAATATTGAAAATTATAAGTATCTTAAGAGGATGGGAAGCTAAGAGGTGAGAATATATTTGACTATATCTTGATGTCTCATGCCATAATTCTTTGATCACTTAGTATAAATCTTATGTGGACCTATCCGAAAGAGTTTTGCATTGAGCACCTAACATTTTTGCTTTGTGCTGCATAACCCAAATAGGATAACCAGGAAATAAGTCTGGTTGTTTCTTTTTCTTTTCTTTTTTTTTTTTTTTTTTTTTTTTTTTGCGGAACTGGGAATTGAACTCAGGCCCTTGCACTTGCCAGGCAAGCGCTTATTCTACTGAGCCATCTCCCCAGTCCCCTGGTTGTTTCTTTTTAAGTACAGCAATAAAGGAGTTAATTTCATATAAACCCATGTTCATTGTCTCACAAAATTGAAAAATTAAATCATAGACATAAGGAAGGAATTAGGGGAGTGTTTATTGAAAGTAAGGGGAAAGAGCTTCTGGCGGATGGCCTTTGTGGAGGATTGCAGGAGTAGAAAATGCCAGTGTGCTTTCATTTTGAACTTTTATAGACAAGTAGAACATGGGGGCTTGTTTTCAACTGATGGCTTTATGGACTTAGGGTTAAAAGGAAAGTAATTATTTAGCTGGTGTACAGGAACATGAGTCACAGAAAACTGTTCTGCATTTCTAGTCAACTATCCTAGTGTACTTTCTTCGTGGGAGGAAGGGTCCTTATTACCCCTCTTATTTTATCCTTTGCCTTTTTATTTATTTATTTATTTTTAACATTTCTAAACTTAGCTAGCTATTGGAATTAGCTCTTAACCTAGTAGGCTGTTTTCTTGTATTTAGCCTGGCTGTACCATAACAGGAGAAGGTAAGATAGACAACTGAGTTACAGAGTAGGAATAGCAAAGATAAATAAACTGGTCTTTCCTATAAGGCGAATTCATTGGTACAGCTTTTCCTGATTTTAAAAACAACATTGAATTACTTTGTTTCTGTTTTTTAAAGATATGGACGTAATGAGGCCCTTGATAAATGAGCAGAACTTTGATGGGACATCCGATGAAGAGCATGAGGCCGAGCTCCTGCCAGTGCAGAAGCATTACCAGCTGGACCACCAAGAGGGCATTTCGTAAGTGCTGAGGCTTCTGCTTGTTTTCCTTTTCAGTATATATCCTTGTAATCTGCTGGCAAGGTATTTTGTGAAATATGTCAGGAAATACCAAGATGAATAAGAAATACGCTCTCCTTTAAAGAGTTTATAGTGTATTTGCAAGGAAGAATACATTTACTTTACAAAGCACTGTGTAGCAACTGCTACAGTGATAATACATGTTGCTTGCTGTGGATCCTGAAAGAAGGAAGAGCTGACCAGGAGGACTAGGAATGTGAAGAGAGCTGGGTTCTGCAGTGGTTAGCAGCTGGATGCCTGATACGCAGGAAGCAGGCTGTGCAGAGCAAGCAGAAAACAGTCACAGGGAAGCCCTGGATTTACATTTTTTTGAATTTTGCCTTCATTTACAAGTTCTTATTCTAATAGTAGTTTAGTAATTAAGTAAAGTAATATATCTCTTCAACAAAAATCATACACTGAAGAAAAACCTTGGTAAACTTCCCCTGAGTTTGAATTTTGTTTTCCTTTTCCTAGTTTTAATTTAGTTTGGGTCAAGAGACCTCTTTCAGTTGCTTCCTAGACACTATGCTTAGGGTAAATCCTTAGGGAACTTTTTTTTTGTTAAATTACTTTGCTGTGTGGAGAAGCACTTTGACTTAAATATCTTGTTTAATCTCCAATGCTTATGCCCCTTCTAGTTAGCAAAGATACTACTTAAACCAAGTCTAATGATAGAATGGAAATGTAATTTGTTTTGTTGCCTACCATGATTTGCAGTTCCCTTCTAATAGTGAAATCATAGGCTAAATAAAATGTTTAAATCTTGCAAATTTTACTTTTCAGATTTGTACAAACTCTTATGCATCTTCTTAAGGGAAATATTGGAACCGGCTTGTTAGGACTTCCATTGGCAATAAAAAATGCAGGCATAGTGGTAAGACTTACCTTTGTAATTCCAGTTAAGATATGGTTACCGCAAAAATTTCTATAAGACAGCATCTAACTCTTGAAATATAACCTGGTCAAGTGACACTTGGATCATCCGTTACCTGTGGTATTGATAAAATTATGTGAAACTGCATAAATATCTCCTATTCTAGTATGACAAAACATGAGAATTACTGTTTTCATTTCTACTTACTTACCTATTTGTAATATTTAGCCATGGGTTTAAGTAGCCAAGTCGATAAGCTAGAACCATACCTGCTTGTCTTGAACAGTATCTGAAATAGTTTCTGTATCAAGTTTATTAATTTTCCCTTATGCAGATGACCATTTAATCATTTTGTCCAACAAATGTTTTTTTAATAGTCTATGGACTTATTGTTCATATAATTGCTAATTTTGTAAAAACTTGAATATGTAATATATAAATATTATTCTTCACAGCTCGGGCCAATCAGCCTTGTATTTATAGGAATTATTTCTGTTCACTGTATGCACATATTGGTACGTTGCAGTCACTTTCTGTGTCAGAGGTAAATGTGGATTTATTCTTTATTTTAAACTTTGTAAGTTTACTTGGAGAATCAAAGTTTTAAATTTATACTGTGCTTTGGATCATTGGTAGTTATTTTAATATCTAATACAATGTAAATGCTATACAAGTAGTTACTGTATTTTATTGTCTAAGAAATAATGACATGAAAAAAGTCCACATACTTAGCACAGACCCAGTTTTTGATGTGTTTTCCATATGTGGTTGGGTCAATCCGTGAACGAGGATCCTGTGGCCACTAGGTCACTGGCTGTATGC